GACCAAAACTTTTCCGTGATAATATTTGTGTTGTACAATTATCCTTTTTGCCCTCATGTCTATATTGAACACAAGGCATACACTGTGTCACCCTTGTCCAGTTCAATATTGAGCCCTTAGACATTTATCCTGTTATGCAGGATGAGCAAATTCCATCTAGGTCACTCATGTCCCTTAGCATGCTTTGTGAAGTACCCATCAACCGTCTTTATAGTCATCCAGTTACGGATGACGTTTGATCAGCAATAAAGTACTTGACTCTACATCTAGGGTCCATAGTGGTTTCAGGTCGAAGGGTGGTATACACCATTATCATCATGAGAATAACTTATGACACTTTGCATAACATTCTATGTAGTATTCTCATAGCGGGTCAATCCAGTATAAATATTACTCCTAATATTCATACCTATGTCAAGACTTGATAACTCCTTATCTATGATCCATGAGATGTGATCATCAATCTATCTTTATAATAATCTTAATGCTTTAATGTTATCCCACTTCACATTAAAGCTTGACTATGGATACTTTAAGAATAGTGTCTTATGTTTAATGGGATCTCATGATTAAGTCACACTTAACATTTCATTAAACAAATAAACCATTCAGGGACTTTATTATTTTGGAAAGCAAACATAATAAAGAAATGCCTTTTATTATTAATAAATAATTCGATACAAGTACCAAAAGTATTGGCCTCTAGGGCTTACACCAACGTCATGATCAACCCTCGATAAAATGATGAATAATACTTCAAAATGAGGATGTTGACCAATAATCTTGAAGTTTCACTGTATGGGGGCCACAATTGACTTTTGACCTAACATAGTTGATTTTCAGGCATTTGAGCAATTGACTGAGCAAACTTCTTCTCCAAGGCTTGAAACTTGACATGGGTGATCTTGAGGACATATTAGGACAATTGTGAGAATTTGAGTCCTTTGTGGTTCACACATCTTAATGAAGATGGAAACCCTAATTAGAGATAGACTGCCTTAGGAGAGAGTTTGTCTGGTCAACTCTTGAACTTCCTTGAGCAATTTGGGGACCTCACTTGCCATGTCTTGAGAATTATGGGAGGGAAAATTTTGGGGTACAACAGCTTCTATATGATTTGATTCTGATATGCCAGCATAATGAGCTTGTGATTCTATCCAAAAATCCAATCAAAACAAATCTTTGCTATTATTTACCAATTATTTGATTTAATTCAAATTTTGATTAATAAAAAATCAAAATAAAATGAAAAATGAGGCAAATAATGTGTGAGTGAATATTTGGGTCATGGACCATGTTATAAGTGAGGTGAAAACATGAAGAGTTAGGCCCATTTGGAAAAAAAAATGCATTTATGAGCACATTTGACTTTTGGTAATTTTGCAAAAAAGGTCAACTTTGACAAGGCATATCTCTTCCAATTTTAACCCTAGAGAGGTGTATTTGGACTTTTTATAAATATTAAGATGTCCCCTAATCAACCCTTTTGGTATCATCTCAATTTGGTCTTCCATGTTCATGTAAGAAGCTTTGACCCAAAAAGTGTTTTTGTTGACTTTTCAAAAGGACCTTTAATATGGAAATTCATATCTTTCTGTGAGTGAATATTTTGAACTTGAGAGATGATTATAGATTGTAGGGAATTGCATCCTCTTCAAAATGAGCCTTGGATGAAGAATTTCTGATAAAGTGTGAGGAAGTTATGCTTGGTCAAAGTTTGGTTGACTTTTCCTAAGAAACCCTAATTTAGCAACTTTTGGGTTTTGATGAATTTGTGGCATTCCTTGAGGATTCATGATCAAACCTTGATCAAATGATGGATATAACTTCAAAATGTTGATATTGACCAAAAATCTTGAAGTTTGACTGTATGTGGGCCACAATTGACTTTTGACCTAATACAGTCGATTCTCAAGCATCTGAGCAGTTGACTGGGCAAACTTTTTGTGCAAGACTTGAAATTTGACATGGAGGGTCTTGAGAACATATTAAGACCATGGAGAGCATATGAGGTCTTTGGAGTTCACCTATCTTTATGAAAATGGAAACCCTAATTTGAGACACATTGCTTTAGGAGAGAGTTTGTTTGGTCAACTCTTGTACAACCCTGAGCAAATTGAAGATCTCTAGGAGTATGTTTTTTGAGAAAAATGAGAGGGCAAATTTTGGGGTACAACAACACTATTATGTGGAATTCTCTTCTATGTTTTGCTCCCACACGTCTTTAGTTCTTGAACTGTTACAAATTGCTACCCATGTCGACAACTACCCTTAAATCTCCCCACTGCTTCTATCGAAGACATCTTTAAGTCTTCTAACCGCCTCTCTCGAATAAGTCATATCACTGCAAAATTATTTCGAGATTTTGAACACGTTTTGAAGAGAGAGTGATTTTAATCTTATAGATTTATTCTTGAGATTCCTCCAAATCAGACTTAATGAGTTTCTAGGTCATCTAAAGTTTGATCTCAAAAATATACTAAGTCCCAAAACATCTGATAGGTGAGTCAAACTCACCACCTCAATCAAAATAATTAACATGTTAAAATTATAGCTATATCATACTTTTATATCGAAATGCTAAATTAAAATTCTCAAGCTAACAATTATATATATATATATGTTCTGGACTGGGCCCGACAGGCCCAAAAGCATTGCTAAGGCCCAGTCCAAAGGGGCTTACTGAGGACCACGCCGAGCAAAGGGGTCACATCCGTGCCCGACATCCTGATGTCCAGCTCGACATCCCGCTGTCCAACTCCACGTGGTGATGTCCAGCTCCACCTCCTGACGTCCAGCTCGACACCCTGCCGTCCAGCTCCACGTCCTGACGTCCAGCTCGACACCCTGCTGTCCAGCTCGACGTTGCCTCGAGCATCCCAACTAGGGCAGACTCAGTCCACCGTTCCCCCAACGATACTCCGGAAAGACCGCGTCTTCGTCCGCTCGCACTTCACGCAGAACATCCAGGAAGGGGACCGCGTGCGGGTCCCCACTACCCACGTAGAACCTGGCAGTTCCTCCATTGGGCCAAATCCGCCCGGCCCAATGAAGGAACCTTGGCCCAGTGTTGGGGGCTATAAATACCCTCTGTTTCCAGAGGGTCAGGTATTCATCATTCTAACCTCAACTTACTATTATCTGCTCGTACTCCTACTTACTTCAGCATCGGAGTGTCTTGCAGGTACTCCCCACCTCGTTCAAAAAAACTTTCTGCTCGGAGCCAGCCGTGACGGTCCATTTCTGATCAGGTCAGATCAATATATATATATATATATATATATATATATATATATATATATATATATATATATATATATATATATATATATATATATATATATATATATATATATATATATATATATATATATATATATATCAACAAAATTGATCTTAAAACATAATTGAAATTAATTTTTTTAAAGTAGTATAATATATGTAATAAAAGAAAAAGTAATTAAAGGTCCGGTAGAATTAATTAGAATTGATAATATTAAAAATAATGTTGGGTAGCACTTATTATAAAAAGAAAATATGATGAAAAATAGAAGAATTGAACCTTTTGTAATAAGGAGAATTTGTAATAAGAAGAGTAATTAGACAATAGACAAAATACTAAACTTATAATTAGACAATAGACAACATAAGCAAACCAAAAACCAAAATAATAAAGCACCGCCCCTTTCTTAATTAAGAGAACACGTGCCAGCTCCCATAGCATATGAAACCACCGGTAGAAAACGCGTACTATTCTAAATATATTGCGGTCCAAAGTAAGATACGTAGTTGGAAAGAAAAAAAGTTACGCGATGATGGGTTGTTAGACTATTTATAATGACAAAATTATTTAATATTTATTTTTCTTATTTTTTATACATTATATCATCTTTTCTCTTTTAATTAATAATTTAACATTTATTCAACTTTTACTCACTACAATGTTTAATAAAATTCAAAATCTTATTCTATCATTTTTATTTCATATTTTTATTTTTTTATATTTTTGTTTTTTTATTATATATTAATAATTATTATTAATTCAAATTAAATTAAAATAATTAAGAATTAAATAATTTATTTTAATTAAATTTTTTTTTTAATTTTATATTCGTAATTACAAAAAATTTAAAATGCAATACAATATACACGATTTTATATTCGTAATTTTTTCTCTAATTTTATATTCGTAATTGAGTGTTAAGAGAGTTATTGTTGGGATCTATTTCACTAAAAAATTGTTTAAAGTTACAAACAATAATTTATTGGAAGTTAAATAGAAAAAATAGATTTTTTTCTTTATCCAAATCAAATGAACCAAAGCTCTATTTATAGAACAAAAAATGATGAATTTTGATGAAAATAAAAATAAATAAAAATTTGATTTTCTATAAAATAATTGACTCCAAATAATTTAAGTGAGATAAAAATATAAACAATCACAACAACCAATTATATTTTATAAAGTATTATAAATAGTCCTTACTCATCTCATTCAATAGGTTGAATGTTTTCAACACAAATTAATTCATGTCACATTCAACACCTTATTCAACAATTTATTAAAACAATTCAATTATTAAAAAATTTATTCAACACATCCATTGTAAGTAGTTTTAAAATATGAGTTCGGACTAACTCGATCCTATAAAATTCGGATAAAGATTGTCTCCTTTTGTAAGTAACACCCCATCTCACGGTGTAGAATTCCTGTAAAAATTGTCTCCATTTATAAGTAATATCTCTCTCACGGTGCAGAGAAAAACTAAATTGTAAGTAGTGTGATATTAGAATAGTTCAATGGATTATGCTTGTTTATAAAAACATATAGAAATCATATATATTGTACGAAATAAAATTAACTCAAGGAAAAGGCTAAAGTAGATTCGCATATTAAAAAAACAAAGTACTACTACGTGTACCTTCTGAAACAAAAAACAAGAAATAGAGAAAAAAACAAGACAAGTAACATCGAACAGCGAATCAAGCATGAAACAAATTCAAACACTGCCACCGTCACTGCCCCTGTTCCACCAGCACGGAATCCCAGTAACAACACCATCTGCAACAACATGCTCACCACTTTCAGTTTCTTCTTCCAAAACAACCCTGACAGAGAAATTAACAACTCCACAACGTAGTCCATTCCAATCCCTCAACCCATAGCTCAAAACCTGCAAACTAGTTTCAGGAACCGAACCTCCGAGAAAATCCGAAACCGCTATTCTCGCCACACCAATATCTCTCACACCGGATGCCGTTTGGTATTTCACCTCAAACGAGACGGACCTTGCGTAGGTCGATAACTCCACTCTGAACTTCTCGTTCCATGAATGGACGCCGTTAACGGCGGTGCTCAACGGTGTTGTGTGGCTGGTGGCTGATTCGGCGCGAACTACGACGAACACGTTTGTTGTTACTGGCTCTCCGTTCACGTGGATGTCTTGGGCGGATAAAACTGTTAGCTCTAGAGTTTTTGGTTTGTCTCTTGCTTCCATTTTTGACTGAAGATTCAAATTTTGAAATGTTTGAGATATGAAACGGGTTATGGATGAATATATAAAAGACGTCACTGTAATCTTTGTTAGAATAAAATATTACTACTTTCCAGTTCAAGTAAATCTTATCGAATATTTTTTTTCAGAAAATAAATATTAAAATATATACTTTTTAGGGTTATTTGTTTGTGAACCTTTTAAAAATGAACTTAATTGAAATATATTAATAGTATAAAGAAATTTATATTTTTGTTAAAATTTTATATATTTTTTATTTAATCATATACAAAATATTATTTATAATATATATTATTGATCATATAAAATATTATACATAAATAACATAATAATTAATCTCTTTAAAAAATCAAAATTTATTTTTAATTTTTTCAAACAATAATCTTTATAAAAATTTTCTCCATATTTTTAATCTCTTTTCGTAACATTCGTTAAAAAAAATTGACGTGTCATTTTTATTACAAATTTTTAGTAATTTTTTTCTAATAAAGATTCAATATTGAAGAAAAGAAAAGATACACAAAAAGTAGAGAATTATGCAAAAACCCACCCAAAAAGAATAGAATCTAAAAAGTAATATTTTAGATTTAATTTTAATTATAATTCTGTATAATGTCTATGAAGTCGTCACTGAACTTTATTTATTTTAAAAAGGAATTATAAAATATCGAGAAAACCCACAAATAAGGATAAGAAAAATGAGTAGATATGATATGATTGATTCAAAATAAATGCAATGCTCATTTCATTAAAATTATGATTTAACGATATTAAAGTCTGAAAGGAAACAAACACTTAACAACAAGAAAGATTACAAATGTTGAGATGATGCTCTCACACTTGATTCCTTACTCAGTTGGTCAGATCTCATCCCTTAGACTTCTCAATAGTGCTTCTCAATATGGAGGACTCACCCACAACTACTAGTATGGAGGCACATGGAAGTATCGTTACTGGTAATGTGCAGCTGCCACATACGAATAATGATAATATGGCATAACAGTGGCTTGTTAATGAACTAAGGGCTTATAAGATTGTGGATTGTAAGATCCTCCACCACCGGTCATGATAGCATTTGTTTTGTGGAACCTTGTTTTATAGGTAACATGTGTTGTTTTGATGATGACAACTGTAGAAAGATCATAAAGTTTATTTAGCATATTAAAGATGCAAAAGCAGACCAATACAATGAGATATTACAATATATAATCAACATGATAGAGATGCAATATGATGACTAATTTAGAAGAGCAATGAAAGTACACTCAACATAGTAAAAGATACAACCTTTTATAAAGTCAACCACGAAGAGCAATAAAATAATATTCAGCATAGCAAAAGATACAACATGATGAATAAAAGAGCATATTAGATGATACTCAACATAACAAAGATGCAACAGTTGAGAAAGTTAAGCAATGCACTTAAATGGTTAATGCAAGCCAAATGTTTGATAAGAAAGACTCGGATAAGGATAAAGGAAATCAAAAGCCTCAGATCATCTCAAAGCAAATGTCAAACATAAGGAATACATCAGACATTAGATTTAGGTTGATCATCCTAAAATAACAATTGAGTGAATCAATGTAAGCAAAAGTTCTTTCTTTGTAGAAGTAATTGGCTATAAGCACACGCGAACTTAAAACCTTTTTACAAAATGTTTTTGAAAATAAAATGTCTCCAAAAGATATATAAGAGTTGCTTAGAAAGTGTTGGGAACAATCAAACAGTCAGAAAAATTATTTTAACTGGATCTAATTGATTAGCACAAATTATCAATCTATTAGATTGGCGCGTTCTAGAGAAACGGGGAAATTTGAATGTACCTAAATGATTAGCAACATTTACATATTTATTCTTGCCTATTTTGGAAAACTTAGATGTTACATTTAATTAATTTAATCGATTGAGTCAATTGATTAGTAACAGTCAAAAATCATTTAATATTATTTCCTCTTTTGGATGATTTAAACATTATAAATAGAGGTCTCATTAATCGATTCAAATCATCAATAAATCAAAATGTATATTGACACACACTCTCTCTCTCTCTCTCTAAGTTTTTCCGGTCACTTTCTCTCACTAGTTCTTATAGCCAAATGCTTTTGTGAGGAGAGATATATGTAATTCTGGTTGGGTAGCAATGTATAAAGTTCTTCGAGGTTGTTCTTGATTCACCTTGATGAACATCATCCATGTTTAGGAAAAAAATATGTGGCTTAAAGTTAAACCCGTTAAAATCTTTGGTTGGGAATTTGTGTGATTAGGTTCCCATAATAAATAAAGGTTGGAGGTTATCAATGTTGTTTTGCTTCCCTTAAGACTATTAAAAAGTCTTCTTTACTCAAAAGTTGAAGATCAACAATATTGATGATCTCACCATTAGGTTCATGGTTATCCTGTTATAAAACCATAGGTTACTTGATCAGCCTGTTAAAATCACGAGAGGTTAATGGTTATCCTTTAAACCATATTAAGCTCAAATGTTTTTAGTAGAGAGAAGTGATGGTACTTCAATCTACAGTTGGGAAAGGAGCTTGGCCACTTCAATCTCAACAATGGAGAAGACGCAAACACTTATATATTGCGTCTTGTATTATCATGGTTGTAGGACAACTAACACTTACTTGTATAAGTGGATTCGTGAGCTTTACCTACTAAAATCTCTCAAGTATTTAATGGAAAATTCTAAGACCATTTCTTTGGGAGAGGAGTAGGTCCTTCATTTTTGATCGAACCTCTATATATCGCGGTGTTATTCTTTTCCCTTAACTTTTACTTTCCGCATTTTATTTCAAAATTATTTTTCCGTTGCTAAGTTATAAAAAGTTTTTGAAACTCTGATAGATCTTATGTTTTGGAAAATATTTTCAAATTTTGGTTTTTAATCTCTGAAAAAGTTTTTCAAAACCACACAATTCACCCCCCCCTCCCCCATCTTGTCTGTGAAGTCTCCGGTCCAACAAGTGACATCAGAGCCTAACTCCAATTGAACGGACTAAGCGTCTAAGGAGGAAGATGACTTCCAACACAATAATCTTTTCATAAAAACTCACCACCATTTTTTTCGAAAATTATTCTTTATAAGTTTTTCTTGAAAACCTTTTTCAAAAGTTATTCAATGATTTGTTTTACCCTTTTCATCAAATAAATGATGAAGGAGTAGAAAAACCTCTTGAACCAAAGATAAACTTATCTTGTTTTTATCTTCGAGGAAATGTAGGATACTTTGGAAAAAGATATATGGAGTTTCTCCAAGTATCAAGGCAAAGGATATGAACACACGAGGCAAAGAATTTTTTCTGTTTTTATTATTTGTAATTAATATTTATCTAAATAATTAACTATTGGAAAAACCTTTCCAAGAATATTAAATCTATAGATAAAAACTTTGTAAATTTCAGGGAGAAAAGAAAACATGGAAGCTAATATCAATCAAAGAACTCTCATGTTCAAAGAACAACAAATAATGAAGAATTTCTTCAGTCGGTTGAACAAAGAAAAGAAGTTTACAACCTTGAGAAAAATTAAGAATCATCCTCCAATAAAAGAAGACAACATATGAAGATAGAGGATAAAACAAAAAATCACATTAACTTCTTTTTGTTTTGCAGGCAATGTTGTGCAACTCAAAACTTTAAAGATCACTTGATGAAGCTATGCAAAAGCAGAAGTATACTCTAGGAGTATACACTTGATAAGTTTTTGATCTAGAGAAGGAATGATGATGACATATGTAAACAGTTATGATCAAAGCAATATCATTTTAGAATTTTTCAATTTATGATCTATGATGATCAGTAAAGTAGATAAGTCTGTGATATACTTATCTATTTGTTTAACTTTTCCAACTCTCGCATCCATTGATGTATGGAGAAGGAAACACTTTTGAAGTGTCCTCTCTTAAGAGAACCTTTGTCAAGAATTGTTTCTTGACCCAGGTAAAATTATTTTAAGATTGGAAATGATCAGTTAATTTGATTGACCCCTTAAAATAATTATTTCTAAACTCTTCTTGCAAATACTATTGATTTATTATTTATTAAATCTCTTATAACCCATAAGATAAGTGTGCGCAAGTGTTTTTAGCTAGGGGTGTCAAAAATATAAACTGGAGCCATTAAGAAAGCAACAAAGCCCAAAAATCAAACCAAAGCACCAAGAAGTCCGGTCAAAGAAAATTTAATCGATTAACAAAAGGAGTCAATTGATTAAAATATGACAAACGCGCAAAGTTTCAAATCCAATCTAAAACAACGTAATGCACAAGAAAAATCAAATCTGAGCATTGATGGATCCGCATCAGAAGATGAATATTTAGGAGATTTAATTGATTAACTCAACCAATTAAAACACTCAAAAACTTCAAGAATTGATTTTATTTTTGGATATCATGATTTGATCATCAAAATATCTCAACCCACATGCTCAAAAAGTCCAGAAAATATTGATATAAATAGGTAATGTATTCTAATCTTCTCTTGCATTTCATTCCTTTCTTCTTCTTTGTTTTCATAGAATCTTGTCTAAAGGTCTAACATGTCTTCAAATCAAAAACCAAAAATTCCCCAAGAAAAGAGCGCTAGTATCCTTGCTTCCATTAGAGATAAACATGAGGAAGGTAAAAAAATAATCCTAGAAAAGAAAATTCTAGGACCATGGTCTATGGAAGATACCTTCATGAGAGATTACAAACCCTACACCCATGTCTATCAAGCATCTTTAAGGGAATTCTTCACAAAAATCCTTGATGAAGTATACCTAAAACTTGTGAGAGAATTCTACATCAATATAGAAATTGTAGGAAACACCCTAATTACCTCTATTAAAGGAGTGAGCATAAAAATCCAAAAAGAAAGATTTGGAAGAATTTTCGATATACTCTTCAAAGGGTCATCCTGCTCTTCAAACAAACCCTCAGGTCTCAAAAACTTTAAATGTAGAGTAGCCATAGAATCCCTAGTAACAAACCCCCTGAATGA